CACACCTGGGATACACCTGGGCACACCTGGGACACACCTGGGCACACCTGGGCACACCTGGGATACCCCTGGGGACACCTGGGGCACACCTGGGGATACCTGGGGACACCTGGGATACACCTGGGGACACCTGAGGGGGCTGGGGAACACCTGGGATATTTGTCCTACCTTTTCTTTACCTGTATGACCTGTTCCATCTCACCTGTGCGGCATCTGTCACCTGTACAATGTCTCAGCTCTACAATCTCACCTGTACGATGTCTCACCTGTACAGTGTCACACCTGTACAGTGTCACACCTGTACAGTCTCACCTGTACAATGTCTCACCTGTTTCACCTGTACAATCTCACCTGTCATACCTGTACAATGTTAGCTGTACAATCTCACCTGTACAATGTCTCACCTGTCTCACCTGTGCAGGGTCAGTGCCAGTGGCGGCAGCCCGTGGACAATGTCACACCTGTACAATGTCTCACCTGTCTCACCTGTCTCACCTGTCTCACCTGTCTCACCTGTCTCACCTGTCTCACCTGTCTCACCTGTCTCACCTGTCTCACCTGTCTCACCTGTCTCACCTGTCTCACCTGTCTCACCTGTCTCACCTGTCTCACCTGTCTCACCTGTCTCACCTGTCTCACCTGTCTCACCTGTCTCACCTGTCTCACCTGTCTCACCTGTCTCACCTGTCTCACCTGTCTCACCTGTCTCACCTGTCTCACCTGTCTCACCTGTCTCACCTGTCTCACCTGTCTCACCTGTCTCACCTGTCTCACCTGTCTCACCTGTCTCACCTGTCTCACCTGTCTCACCTGTCTCACCTGTCTCACCTGTCTCACCTGTCTCACCTGTCTCACCTGTCTCACCTGTCTCACCTGTCTCACCTGTCTCACCTGTCTCACCTGTCTCACCTGTCTCACCTGTCTCACCTGTCTCACCTGTCTCACCTGTCTCACCTGTCTCACCTGTCTCACCTGTCTCACCTGTCTCACCTGTCTCACCTGTCTCACCTGTCTCACCTGTGCAGGGTCAGTGCCAGTGGCGGCAGCCGCCGGGGCGGGAGATTTACCGCAAGGGGAACATCTCGGTCTATGAGGTGGACGGCAAAGATCACAAGGTGAGAGCCACAGGTGTGCACAGGTGTGTGCCCAGGTGTGCACAGGTGTGTGTGGGTGTCCCCAGGTGTGTGGGTGTGTCCAGGTGTGCACAGGTGTGTGTCCAGGTGTGCACAGATGTGTGTGGGTGTGTCCCCAGGTGTGTGGGTGTGTCCCCAGGTGAGCACAGGTGTGTGTGCAGAGCCAACAGGTGTGTGGGGGTGTGTCCCCAGGTGTGTCCCCAGGTGTGTCTGGGTGTGTCCCCTGAACCTCCCAGGTGTGTGCAGGTGCCCCCAGGTGTGCACAGGTGTGTCAGGGTGTGCCCAGACGCCCCAGGTGTGTCCCCAGTACCCCCAGGTGTGCCCAGGTGTGCCCAGGTGTATCCAGGTGTGTCTCAGATCTATTGCCAGAACCTGTGCCTGCTGGCCAAGCTGTTCAGGTGTGTTCAGGTGTGTTCAGGTGTATCAGGGGTGTGTTCAGGTGTACCCCAGGTGTGTCACAGGTGTGCCCAGGTGTGTCACAGGTGTGTCACAGGTGTGCCCAGGTGTATCCAGGTGTGTCACAGGTGTGCCCAGGTGTGCCCAGGTGTGCCCAGGTGTATCCAGGTGTGTCTCAGATCTATTGCCAGAACCTGTGCCTGCTGGCCAAGCTGTTCAGGTGTGTTCAGGTGTGTCACAGGTGTGTCACAGGTGTGCCCAGGTGTGCCCAGGTGTGTCACAGGTGTGTCCCAGGTGTGCCCAGGTGTGCCCAGGTGTGCCCAGGTGTATCCAGGTGTGTCTCAGATCTATTGCCAGAACCTGTGCCTGCTGGCCAAGCTGTTCCTGGACCACAAGACTCTTTATTTCGACGTGGAGCCGTTCGTGTTTTACCTGCTCACCGAGGTGGATCGGCAGGGAGCGCACATCGTGGGGTACTTCTCCAAGGTGAGCACACCTGGGCACACCTGGGCACACCTGGGGACAGCTGGGCACACCTGGGCACACCTGGGATACACCTGGGATACACCTGGGGACACCTGGGGACACCTGGGACACACCTGGGGACACCTGGGCACACCTGGGATACACCTGGGGACACCTGGGCACACCTGGGGACACCTGGGCACACCTGGGATACACCTGGGATACACCTGGGGACATCTGGGGACACCTGGGCACACCTGGGCACACCTGGGCACACCTGGGCACACCTGGAACTGAGTCTAGAACCCAGTCTGGAGCCCGATCTAGAACCGAGTCTAGAACATTCTAGAACCTGATCTAGAACCGGGTCTAGAACCGACCTAGAACCTGATCTAGAACCGAGTCTAGAACAATCTAGAACCAGGTCTAGAACCGACCTAGAGCCCGACCTAGAACACTCTAGAACCTGATCTAGAACCGAGTCTAGAACCGAGTCTAGAACAGTCTAGAACCGATCTAGAACCTGATCTAGAACGATCTAGAACCCGATCTAGAACCGAGTCTAGAACAGTCTAGAACCCGATCTAGAACCTGCTCTAGAACACACCTGGAACCTGCTCTAGAACATTCTGGAACCTGATCTGGAACCTGATCTGGAACCTGCTCTAGAACGTTCTGGAACCTGATCTAGAACCTGATCTGGAACCTGATCTGGAACCCGCTCTAGAACCGAGTCTAGAACGTACCTGGAACACACCTGGGGACATTTGGGGGGAGCTGGAGGGGGTGGGGACACAC